TAATAATAATTCTTGCATTTAATATAGACCCTCATCACAGCTTCAAGATGCCTTAAAGTGCTTCACAGTATATACTATAAAAAGAATTGACTGTATATTTTTGTAGGCGAAACGCGGCAGCCGATTGCATGTCCCACGAACAGACATGGATTGAAGTGACCAAATTATTAGTTTTTATTAAGGAATTATTACCCGTGGAAAAGCAATCAGCCAATCGACTAACAACCGGATTCCTACTCACTACTAGGTAAACAGAGGGTTATGTTGAAGGGTGCAATATAAAAGAAAGCTGCTGTCGTAAAGCCCTTTGAGATGTTCTCCCAAGTGAAAGGCGCTGTACAAGTAGAAATCATTGTTCAGTGTCATTGCAAGAAAGAACATTCCATTACTAAAAGAAATAGGCTGCACACGGCAGCGACTCACCAGGGACCAACGCTGATTTTTTTGTAAGAAACTAAGCTAAATTGAGTCAGTTAATCAATCCGCGTGGATTGGTTGGCCGTAGTAAGTTACTGTGTAAAGATGCTTATACTGCAGAACTCAGGAACGCTGAGCTCAATAGCGAGAGAGTTGTCTCAATATTATACAACCGTGGAGGCAGAAGGAGCAGGAAGTCTGACCCAGTGCATTGAGTGATCATAAAAATAATTAAAGGGCAGTTTAGATAAAACTGCTTCTCACAGAGAGTGGTCGGAACGTGGAATTGCTTGTCACAAATTGGACCTGAGCATAGGGTCTCAAGATTAGGAGAGGTCAATCAATCTATCGAGCCTGTTTTTGTTGGTTAATGTAATAATAATAATCCTTGCATTTGATATAGCGTCGTATCACGTCGCTGTGACGTCTCAGAGCATTTCACAGGATATACTGAAAAGTGGATTGACTCTGTATTTTGTGGATTGAACACAATAGCCATTTGCACACAGCGATGACCCATAAACAGTCGTTCGTGGATTGAGTGACCGAAATACTATTATTATTATTTTACCAAATTATTATTACTATTTGTATTGTATTGCAATTTCGGAATAGAGTAGAGGAGAAGATGCAGGCGAGTGATCATTAGTGTTGCTGGATATAATGCTTGAGGAAGAAGCTTAGTTATTGTTCACTTAACCCACACCGATCTTCCTCTCTCACACACTGTAATGGCTGAATATCGGGCAGCCTTCCTTAGCTTAAACCTCCCGCAGCAGGCCCACCTATTTTCTCAAGGTGTCAAAGCAATTTCGGAATTTGTCTCCAGAGAAAAATGGGGTCAGGCGCGAACTGGTACATTTTACATGAAGCCATTTTCGATATGTTATTGTCCTTGATGTGCCTAGGTTTATTCAGCTATCTCACAGAGCTATTAATGAGGTGGTGATGTGTGGTCCAAGTAAATGCTGCTTTATAGGGTCACAAGATTTTCTTAATGGCCACAAAAAGGCCATTAATGTCCAACACGCTTGAGGGCTTTTTTTTTCAGTTGCATTTGATATAGTGCCTTATCGTGTCTTCGAGATGTTTCAAAGCCCTTCACGGAATATACTGTAAAGTAAATTTATTGTAAAGTAAATTTATTTATGCGGCAGCCAATTGCGCATGGCAGTGTCCCGCAAACGGTCGAGTATTGAGTGACCAAATAGTACCCTTTTAGGGATTTTTACCCCTCAGAAAGCGATCCAATCGACTAGCAACTGGGTTCCTACTTACTGCTAGGTAAACAGAGGCGTGTGGAGTAAGGAAACTTGCCTAACGTTTTGCCCTGCCCGGGAATCAAACCTGGGTCCTCTCGCTTGTGAGGCAAGTGCTCTAACCGATATGCTACAGGACTCCTACAGCATTTATATCAATGTAAATTGTCCTTTACTGTAAAGTGAACATTCTAACTTTCTCGGTTTATAGTCACGAACAGTTGCTTCTAACCTGCCCTCAATAACCTGTTCCCCCTCCTCCCTGAGCTGAGATTCTTGTAGAGTACAGCCCTGACAAATGATGGGACCTACAATGATTGGGTAGGATATTGGTGTGAGGAAGAGGGGAGAGGTGGAGGTGAGCGTAGGCTCAGTCCAAGAAGTAGGTTTTAAGGTAGGATTTAAAGCCAGATAGAGACAGGGGATGGCGATGCGTGGGAGAGGAGACTCAGAGTGCATTATGTAGTATGAGTGACTGAAGACTGCAGCCGTTTCTTCACTGTTGAATCTTACAATGTTGTATATTGTGAAAAGCTCTGATAGGCACTGAAATCTCTCTCGCTCTCTCTCTCCATGTTTGGCAATCTTTGCGCATCTCTTTATTGTTATCGCACATTGTAAAATTCCCAAGTAAACAGATGGAAAGAGCACTAGTGATTTCTCGGGGGTGAGATTAAGTAGAAACTGTGCGGTGTTTATACGTCTGAATAAACCAAGTTAATTGCCAACATTGAAATTGTAGCTTTATTCCCATGGACCCCATTGAGCATCTTGTAAATGAAGGATTCCCGGGATGAAAATTAAGACGTGTGATCTGCCAATCAACACCAATGGTGTATTTAGCACAACTTTGAGAAAGTGACTGGATTAAATTATCGACTTCTCCATGAGGTGTGCAGATATAGAGTTGATCTATGGAGCTGAATCATACAGTAATGATAATCCTTGCATTTGATATGCCTTATCACGAAATGCCTGAAAGAAGTTTCACAGCATTTTTCTGTCAAGTGTGCTGACTTGTGTGTTTCTAGATAAAATGAGTCATTCCCTTCATAGCTATTTATGGGGAGCATTGCTGTGGTCAAATTGGCTGCCACATTCACCTATAAATACACAATCTCTACACTTTACAGGGAAATCATAACATAGAACGATCAGAACTTGCCTTATCCCAATCCCCTGTCAGTCAGTTCAATCGAATTCACGCTGGCTGGTGAATTCTCTTTGGAGTGTACTGGAGAGCCTTTCAATCCAGGTCTTGTAGCTCAGTGATGAGAGCATTCACCACGCAAGCGAGAGACTTGGGTTCGATTCCAAGCAGGGCAAAACTTGGACAAGTTTGCTTACTCCACAAGCCTCTGTTTGCACAGCAGTAAGTAGGAACCTGGTTGTTGTTTGATTGATGGATTGCTTTTCCGGGGATAATAATCCCTTCACAAAAACAATAGTAATAATTTGGTCACTCAATCCACGGGACTGTTCGTGGGACACTGCTGTGCTCAATTGGCTGCCACGTTTCGCCCACAAAATATAAAGTCAATTCACTTTCCAGTATATTCTGTGAAGCGCTTTGAGACATTTTGCAGATGTGATAAGGCGCTGTATCAAATGCAAGGATTATTATTATTATTTGCTCGCTCGGGTGGATGTTAAGGTTCACGCAGCATTCCACCAGTGGGGCACAGCCAAAGAATAAATGATTTCAAAGGCCCGGTCTTGGTCTTGAACCCATAACAACAACAGCTTACATTTATATAGCTTCCCTCAGGCAGGGTAGCATCTCAGAGCTGAACAGTCACAGAGCCCGACGTCGAGCCAGAGGGTAAACATGGTCAAAAAGAAAGTTCTTCAGGTATGACCTGAAGATGGGGAGAGTGGGGGCAAGGCAGAGGAATTGAGGGAGTTTTGGGGCATAGTGGCTGAAAGTGCGTCCCCCACTCCCACCCACTGATGGTGGAACGGAGCACAAGAGGGTCAAACAGGATGCTGGAGCCAGTCGAGCAGAGGTGGTGGGTGGTGGTTTGGGGAGCAAGCAGTTCGGAGAGGTAGAGGGGTACCAGGGTGTGAAGGGATTTGAAGATGAGTGTGAGGATCCTTACAAACATTACTCAGAGGTAAGAGCCAGGCTGACCCTCAAAATTAAGGCCGTATTTAAGAATTTGCACACTCTAAAATGCTAATAAAATAGAGTAAATCCAGACCCATCCGTACGCTGCTTACATCGAGGTTGCTATTGCTGGGGGCTATGCAGTGGTTACATTGCTGAAGCACTTTGTGAAGTCCATTAGCTTCACTGCTGCTGAGATGGTGAAAATATCATCTGTTTCAACACAATTGATCCAGATGGTCTCATTTGCAATTGGTGCCCTACAGGCTTGCAAGATTAACTGTTAGGAAAGCGAGGAATCTTAAAGTAGACCGTTATCCTCTTGGGGTTTTATCTGTTTGTGGTCAATTCTCTCGTGTGATTAGATAATTTGGGCAGGATTCTTGACAATCTGTCACAGAAACGAGATGCATCAGGAAAAATTTGCAGGGCTCTGGGGTAAGAGCGGGGCCATGGGATTTGTTGACTAGCTCTTTCAAAGAGCCGGCCCAGGCATGATGGGCCGAATGGCCTCCTTCTGATTCTGATTAAGATTCTATAATTCTATTCTATGATTTTATCCTCCGGTGTTCAGTCTCATGTTCCAGTGCAGGGCTGGGGAGAGTACTGTATTGTTGGAGGTGCTGACTTTTGGATGTGATTTTAATCCAAGGTCTTGTCTGCCTGTTCAAAGATCCCATGGCATCATTCGAAAAGAGGAGGGAGGTTCTCCCAGTTTCCTGGCCTACAATCTCAACAAGTTGGTCATTCACTTCATGGTTGTTTGTAGGACATTGTTGTGCGCAAATAAGCTGCCGCATTTACACACATCTTTCCATTCAATAGCAATTACCTGTGAATCTCTTTGCTATGTTTTGAAGCTTTAGAAAATACAAAGGTTATTAATATAATTAAACATTATTATTTGTAAATTGCCTTGAGATTTTTGATGTGATAAAGCACTAAGTTCTTTCTTTGTGAACTTTAAGCTCTCGAAGACGCTTTGCCCTGCGTGAAGGGTGCTGCATAAATAAAGTTTCGCCCACAAAAATGTACAGTCAATTCACTTAGCAGTACATCTGTGAAGCGCTTTGAGACGTCTCGAAGACGTGATAAGGCGCTATATCAAATGCAAGGATTATAATTATTATGATAAGTTGCTGTTGTGGAAACTGACTGCCCTTCTGAGTTGCTGCTGTATTTTTACTCTGTCTAAAACTTATCCCTCTTCCCTGCAGTGACACAGAGAGCTGGTACTGTGAGTGCCTGAAGACACACTCGGGTGATCTCTGCCAGTTTACAGCGTGTGAAAGAAGCCCTTGTGGACACGGTGCCACCTGTGTGCCCAAGCCCAGCGGAGATCCCGTCTGCCTTTGCCCCTACGGCAGAGCCGGAGTTCTGTGCCTTGATGGTAAATACGTGAACTCGCAGCTTTGAAACGTTTCCTTACAAAAAAAACACGCACTTAAACATGGACGCTGGGAAGAAGGAAATTACATAGGAGAATCTGTGGAGAGAAATTCCACCCGGGTTCTAGGTTTAGTCTATTTATGTAGTATTTTAGAGCGTCCAGAGTTTGGCGAATTGTTGAATTCGGTCTTCATTTTCAAGTCGGTTTTCTGGGGTCCATAAACAAAAATATTTACAGAAAATTGGCTTCAAAGTTGGCTGAATACTTTCAGCCATTCTAACCCCACTATCTTTCTGGAGTCCCTCCCCAACCTCCATCTCAAAACTTACCTCTTTGATCTCATCTGTCTCCTCCCCACCCACCTCCAGCTCCCACTCCCAGTCGAGCGTTCAGGCAGCAATCTCAAACACTTTGAAAGGCTTTATATTAATGTAAATTGTATTTTGTTGAATTCAACAATTTGCCAAATTCTGAATGCTCTGAAACCCTACATAAATAGAGTAAATGCTAAACATAGACTTGAATGAAACCTCTCTAACCAATATGCTACAGAGTTCAGTATAAGGAAGAGAGCATTTGTTCTCATTAAAACGATGTGTTCGATTCGAGGCAGCAGAGCTGGGGAGCGTATCTGCTAAGCGACACTGGGAAAGTGCACTGTGCGAAAAATCAATGTTGTGTTTGAGAACACTGCCTGTTTCTGCTTTGTTTGTAGTTCAATCTCATCAACTAAAGCTTATCTCTCGAGCGCTTCAATAGAAAACTGGTTCATCAAAAATATCAGATTTTATAACAATGAAATATCCATTAGAACTAATCTGTATGAAAACCTTAGCGTTGTGATCTCCTGCCTCGTCTGTTCCCTCTGCTCTGCCAACTCATGGCCTTTTCACATCTCCCGCTCCTTCCACCCCACCGTCAATGGACAAGAGTTTAGCCTCCACTTTCTGAAACACTCCACCTCGTTGCCTCCAGCTCATGCCACCCCCTCTCTACTCCAAACCCACCTAAAGCCCTACCTCTGAAAGCACTTTGAGATAAAAAATAAGTCATTTCACTTCATGGCTGTTTGTGGGACACTGCTGCGTGCAAATTGTCTGCTGCTTTTGCCTGAAAAATATACAGTCACTAGACTTCACAGAACATCCTGTGAAGCGCTTTGAGACATCCTCCAGACATGAAAGGGGCTCTTATCAAATGCAAGGATTATTATTATGATTATAATTAATAATCATAATAGTAATCCTTGCATTTGATATAGCGCCTCATCACGTCATTGAGACGTCTCAAAGTCCTTCACAGAATATTCTGTTAAGCGGATTGACTGTGTATTTTGTGGGCGAAACGCATCAGCCAATTGCGCACAGCAGTGTCCCATAGACAGCTGCAACAAATTATTATCAGGTGTTACCTTTTGGCAATGGCAGGAGCTGATGGAATTTCCACTGCTGTACACATGTTGCCAAAGGCACATCAGAGAACACCAACAGGGATTTCAATTCAGAGATAAGCAGATTGTGAGAAAACACTGTTTATGTCAAAGGCTTTTCTGCTAGTGATGAGGCAGTGGTTCTCCTGTTAGACCTTCTTTTAGATTTCTCCATTTCCTTGTTTGGACTCACCAACAGTGATCCAGGTCAGATTGCTCTGTACCTGAGGGTAATTTGACTTCCCTGGAGCTCAATGCTTCAGAGGCTAATAAAAAAATCAATGGGAGATACTCTACTGAAAAAAGGATTTGTTTTGCCCACAAAACATGCAAACTATTCATTTTGCAATATATTCTGTGAAGCGCTTTAATACATCTGAATGACACGATAAGGCTCTATATCAAATTCAAGGATCATTATTATTATTACTGCATGATATTCGACCACTTGCTAATGTTCCCTGGTCAAGTCACTTCTCTAGATGTTTTCTCATCCATCACAAAAGAGAACTGGTGTCTCTCTGGACGTTATGCAGTGTTTGTTTGCGGAAACCTCCTTTCCTTTCTTGGCGTATCACTTTCCAGGGGGATTTATCAAAAATAAAAATAATAATAAAAATTTGGTCACGCAATCCACGACTGTTAATGGGACACTGCTGTGAGCAGTTGGCTATTGCGTTTTGCCCACAAAATAAACAGTCAATGAACTTTACAGTCTATTCTGTGAAGCGCATTGAGACGTCTCAATGATGTGACAAGGCGCTATATCAAATCCAGGGATTGTTATTATTATTATTATCTGGTCACTGACATAAGACAATATTAAAACCATAATAGGATCAGAATTCACAAGTCTAAATTAGTGTCAGATGCTCATCGGTATGCGATGCTCGAGACTCGCGGAAGATCGTACTGGGAGATACATTTCCCAATAGAAGAGGCAGAGTATCTTACAGTTGACAGTTTCAGGCATCCTTTCGCTTGTGTGAGAGACTATCAGAACTCCCTTGTGCCAGCGTTGCTCATGCATTATGGATCATCTGCAATCCTGAAAGAATAATTGTCAGTCACTGTCATCAGTGAGATATTCTCTCCACCTTGTGCTAGGCTAACATAAGGCCACTGAGACCTTCAAGTGGTAGATGCCGTCAGCCACCTGTTCGCAGGGGAGAACGCATGGTCAGATTGACTTGTCAGGAGGTGTATTTTGACTTGAAAGCCGATGTGTTTGAAGGAGCTCCATTATCGTGATGCGCTTGCATTGCCGGAGAGAGACTGACTTGGAGACAGACCTCAGAGCTGACCGACATACAGCAGTGGGTAATTGGAGGACAAATCAAGCCGGCTCTCTCGCTCACGTTCCAGCAGCATTTCCAGAATACCATCAGAAGTGCTGCCAACTTTCCAATAGAATTTTATTGCTTTTTGAGATGTCTCAATGATGTGATGAGGCGCAATGTCAAATGATTATTGTTATCATTAAATATTATTATTATAATAACCAGTTTGCCCACAGCAATGTCTCACACACAGTCAAAATATGAATGACCAATTTATTTGGAGGATTGCTCGCCAGGTCACGGGGAGAATCTCCATTCTCTTTTCAGTAATATAATAACAATAATCCTTGCATTTAATATAGCACCTTATCAAGTCTTCCAGAAGTCTCAAAGCACTTCACAGAATATACTGTAAAGTGAATTGACTGTATTTTGTGGGCGAAACTCGGCAACCAATCGCGCACAGCGGTGTCCCACAAACAGTCGTGGATTGAGTGACCAATTTATTGTTTTTTTAAGGAATTATTACCCCCGGAAATCCGCCAATCAACTAATAACTGAGTTCCTACTTAGGTAAACAGAGGCGTGTGGAGTAAGGAAACTTGCCCAATGTTTCACCCTGCTGGGAATCTAAACCAGTTATTTCGCTTGTGAGGCGAGTGCTCTAACCACTGAGCTACAGGACTCCACACTTCAATCAGTGATATGGCATTTCTACTGTCCAAATTAATGAATTCATTAATTAATTAATGAATAGCCAAACAATATATATATTATATATTCGAAGGATGGCACCACCGACAATGCCAACTTGTCAGTTTAGATTATGTGAGTTCAAGTCCGAATATAAGGCTTGAACCCCCAATCTTTAATTGGAGTTGAGGTACAGATCAGCCATGATCTGATAGAATGGCGGAATAGCTCGAAGGGCTGAATGGCCTACTCTTGTTCCTATATGTTATTCTGACCGAGACCGCTAGTAACTAAGGCAAGCTGACACAAACAAATCTCACAAACACCCAAAAGTGGATTAATCTGTTGAATTGTAGGCCAGGACACTGGGAGAAAGTCCTTTCAATTTTTGAATGGCATCGTGAGATTCTTATCATACTTATGTATAGTCTCCCATCCATTGTCATTTTTGAGGAAAGGTTTTTCCCTAAGGACAGAAAACAAGAAACCAACCCACTTGTGTGGGGAGAAAATCCTCTTTTCTGCATATAAAAGGTTCCTAAGTTTCTTAACATTTCTGCCTCCAAAGTCCCCTGCGTGTAGTGTCTTTTATGAATGTTGGTGAAGCAAAGACTTTCATTCTGCTAAGCTTGGCGCAGTGTTATCAAGCGACAACTGCTAAGCTTTCATCATTCACATCTGTAACTTTCTTACAGAAGTGGCTCCACACATGGACTGAGACGCATGGACCCCTTTATATTTTGTCTCTCATCAAACACTCAGCCAATTCCCTTTTTCAGTGCTGTCATGGTGCTGAACTTCAGTAGCCACTTGTGGTAAAGTGTTTCCTTTTCTGTTAACACTGCAAACTGAAAAGTTTCTTCCAAACTTCACATTATTAAAATAATAATAATCCTAGCATTTGATGTAGCGCCTTATCACGTCTTCGAGACGTCTTACAGGGCTTTACAGAACGTACTGGAAAGTGAATTGACTGTATTTTGTGGGCGCAATTGCACCCAGCAGTGTCCCGCAAACAGGCAAGAATTGAGTGACCAATTTATTATTCATTTTTTATGAAGGAATTATTACCCACGGAAAAACGATCCACCAATTGACTAACAACTGGTTTCCTAATAACTGCTGGGTAAACAGAGGCAATGTGGAGTGAGGAAACTTGCCAGACATTTCTCCCTGCCCAGGAATCAAACCCAGGTTTCTCTTTTGCGAGGCGAGTGCTTTAACTACTGAGCTACAGCACTCCATAAAGACTGAGCTACATTAATTCCTCTATACGATGCAATTTACGTTTATATAGTCCCTTTCTCATCAGGAGGGCAACCCAAAACCCTCTGTCCAGGATGGGCACCTAAGCTAGAGGTGAAAGGCGAGGGGTGTGGAGTGGAAAAATGACCAAAACCGTGGTCAAAGAGGTACATTTTGAGATGAGCCTTGAAAGTAGCGCGAGGGAAGGAAAGCTGCCCTGCCCGCTCCCCACATCCTAGACGAGGTCCTGTCTGCCTGTTCAGGGGGATGTTAAAGATCCCATGGAGCTATTTGAAAAGAGAAGGGAGTTTCTCCCAGTATCCTGGCCAAAAATCCCCCAAATTAAATTGATC